AATTAATTAATTTAATTAATTAAATCTTTTGCTGCTGACCTCCTGTTGTTGTTAATCCCAAAGACACAAATATATGGGCCCTCATTGCTGCTGCCAAGTGAGCAGCAGCAACCAGCAGCAGCCGCTGCACCCCACAGCAGCACTCCCCGCTGCAGCAAGCCCTTGCTGCTGCTGCTGCTGCTGCTGCTGCTGCTGCTGCTGCTGGGGCTGCTGGGGGTGCTGCTGCGGGTGCTGCTGCTGCTGCTGCTGCTGCTGCTGCTGCTGGTCCTGGTGTTGCTGCTGGTGCTGGTGTTGCTGCTAGTGCTGCTGCTGCTCTCGCAAGGGACTGCTGCTTTTGCTGCTCTTGCTGCCCTTGCTGCTGCTGTTGCTGCGGCTGTTGCTGCTGCTCCCCCTCGTGATGCTGCTGCTTCTCCGCCTTCACCTCTTGCTGCTTCTGCTGCTGCTGCTGCTGCTGCTGTACATGCTGCTGTTGCTGCCGCTGCTGCGGCTGCTGCATCAGCTGCTGCAGAGGGGCCCTCCAGAGCCCCAGCCTGCCTCCCTGCCCTGCTGCTGTGGCTGCTGCTGCTGTTGCTGCTGATGCTGCTGCTGTTGCTGCTGATGCTGCTGCTGGCTGCTGCAGCAGCAGTTTGTCTCCAAAGGAGCTCAAGAGAGCCGCGATGGGAACTGGCTGCTGCAGCAGCCTGCTGCTGCTGCTGCTGCTGCAACTGCTGCTGTTGTTGTTGCTGCTACTGCTGCTGCTGTTGCTGCTGCTGCTGCTGCTGCTGCTGTCTCCTTGAAGTGTCTCGCATGGTGTCTCCTCCTCCTCGTAAACAAACGCAGGGCAAGACAGCTCCCAAGTGCAGCAGCAGCAGCCCAAGGGGCTTTCACCGCTTGCTGCTGCTGCTGCTGCTGCTGCTGAAGGGGGCTGCTGCAGGCTGTTGCTACTGCTGCTGCTGCTGCTGCTGCTGCTGCTGCTGCCGTCACCGTCGCTGCAGCAGCTGCAGGAGCAGCAACGCAGAGCCTCCGGCCGCAGCACTTCTGCCGAGGCCCTGGGCCGCTGCTGCGGGGGCTCCACAGAAACCCTGAGGCAGCAGCAGCAGCCAGCAGCAGCAGCAGCAGCAGCAGCAGCAGCAGCAGCAGCAGGCCTCGGGGCCCCTGCAGGGTGGACACAGCTCAGCAGCAGCTGCAGCAAAGACACAAAAAGGACTCGAGAAGATCCCGAAATATCAATAAAGAAATCATCGAGGCCCAGGCGCTGCACCGGGCGGTGTGGGGTCTCAGCAGCAGCAGCAGCAGCTGCTGCTGCTGCTGCTGCTGCCGCTGCTGCTGCTGCTGTTGCTGCAGTTGCCGCGTCAATCGTCTTCGCTGCTCCAGGGAGGGACGCTGATGGCGCTGCTGCTGCTGCTGCTGCTGTTGCTGCTGCTGTTGCTGCTGCTGCTGGCGTCAGCATTGCTGCAGCAGCAACGCGATCAACAGCAGCAGCCCAACCGCTGCGCGCTGCTGCAGTGCGTCTGCAGCAGCAGCAGCAGCAGCAGCAAGACCAAGAACCCTCAAGTCTCCTATTTGCTGCTGCAGCATGTGGACTCCTCAGGCCTTCCAAACCTCCCCGAGGGGCCCCCATAGGGGCCCCCATAGGGGCCCCCACAGGGGCCCCCATAGGGGCCCCTGGGGCCCCTTCTGGGGTCCTCTGCATGTCCCCCATTGGGGCCCCCTGGGGGGCCCCCGTAGGGGCCCCCTGGAGGGCCCTCTGGGGGGCCCCCATTGAGGCCCCCATTGGGGCCCCCTGTGGGGCCTCCTGTGGGGCCCCCTGGGGGGCCCCCATAAGGGCCCCCTGGGGGGCCCCCATAAGGGCCCCCTGGGGGGCCCCCATAAGGGCCCCCTGGGGGGCCCCCCAGGGGCCCTTTGAGGGGCGTTTAGTAAGCCAGGGGGAGTGTTTGAGGAGGGCGAGGATTTGGTTGGAGACGCTGCGGTACTTGTCGAGGTTTTCGCCGTTAATAAGGGTCAAATGAGGGTACGATTTTCGTACCCAGGTGGTGGAAAAGCCCTTCAAATTCCCCACAACTCTCCGCATTGCTGCACTGCAGCAAACCACCAGCTGCTTCTGATGCACACAAAACTGCTGCTGCTGCAGCCGCAAGTCCCGCAGCTCTTCAACTTGCGCATAAAAGCAATCCACATCAATATGAGCAATGCAGCGGCTCCTGACCCAGCAGCTCCCTCCGGGGGCCCCCGGGGGGCCCCGGGGGGCCCCCCGGGGGGCCCCCCCGGGGGCCCCCGCGGCCTCTGGGGCCCCGGGCGCTTTCGGGGGGCCCCCTGGGGCCTCTGGGGCTTTCGGGGGGGCCCAGGGGCCCCAGGGGGACCCAGAGGGCCCCGGGGGGGCCCAGGGGGCCCCGGGGGCCCCAGGGGGCCCCCCGAAAGGATGCATCAGGGGGGCCCCCGCGCTTCAGAATCGCATGCAGCCCCTGCATGCATGCAGGCAGACAGGGGCTGCATGCATGCGCGCATGCATGCATGCATGCATGCATGCATGCATGCATGCATGCACTTGGGAAGAACCACAGCGGGGCTTTCTGGCGGGGCGGGGGCCCCCCTTCGGGTGCTTCTGAAAACGGGGGGCCCCCCCGGGTTTTTGGGTTTCTTTGGCTTATTCTGCTGCTAAAAGACTTATTTTGTTTTTTAAAACTTCTAAAAAAAACGAAGATGGGAAAAAAGTGGAAGAAAAATGAAAAAGCAGTTCGGGAGCCAGTGGTCACCTGGTGGCGGAGGTGTCTGTACACCTCAGAACAGGCACTCAGCCCGAGCGGCAGCAAGAGTCACTTCTTTGTTCATTTATTTAATCCTTTCTTTAATTATTTAATTTAAATTTAATTTAATTCTACTCTCCATTAGGAATACAACCAAACGAACCCCAGAAAGGGGCCCCTCCGGTGGTTGGGGGCCCCCCTGGGGGCCCCCCAGTACCCTAACAGGGGGCCTCAAAGGGGGCCCCAAATATGCCCGAAAAAATCCCTGAAACTTTCTTAAAAGAAGCAACAAATAGTTATTTAAAGGTCCTCCACAGGGGCCCCCAAAGGGGCCCCCAAAAGTACCCACAAAGGGGCCCCCAATGGGGCCCCAGAGGGGCCCCCAAAGGGGCCCCCAAAGGGGCCCCCAGGAAAGCAGCCAAGAAGGCCATCAAAAAGGGCCCCTAAGGGGCCCCCAAAAGGGGCCCCAGGGGGCCCCCAGAAGGGGCCCCAGGGGGCCCCCAAAAGGGGCCCTAGGGGGCCCCCAGAAGGGAACTAAAAGGGAATGTAAGAAGGGCTTTTAAGGCGAAAAGGGTTTTAAAAGTGTTTCAAAAAGGGGCCCCCTGGAGGGCCCCTTGGGGCCCCCGAATTGGCAGCAGCAAACAGCAGCAGCAAAAAGGCAGGCGAAAACAGCAGCAGCAAAAAGAGAAAAAAAGAAAAAACTTTAAAGTTGAAAAGACAAAAAGAAGAAACTTAAATCAACTTCAAACAATCTCGTCTTCTAGAAGTCCCACCACACTCTGGTCTCCCTCGAGGGTTTAGGGTTTAGGGTTTAGGGTTTAGGGTTTGGGGCGGCGTCTCCCGTTCGCACTGGAAAAATTGCTCCATTCTGCGGTAATCGTCTTCGCGGGTATTTTCTTTAAGGGCATAAACCCTTTTTTAGGGTTTATTAAAATTATTCTTTTAAATTATCACTGTCTAGAGTTTAAGCTTTCAGCTGATACTTGTTCGAGGGTTTAGGGTTTAGGGTTTAGCTGGTGGCTGCTGCTGATTTTGAAGCCCTGCAGCCCGCTGAGGGCCACTTCAGCAGCAGCAGCAGCAG